CCATATTTAAATTTTGTTTGAAAGATACACTAGCTGTATTTAGCTATAAATAAATAAAATACCAAGTTGAAAGCCAATGAAAGTCTTTAAATAGAAATATTGTATGGCATTAAAAAGACGCATTGGAGACGTGTTTCTTTTTGTTGAAAGTTTTTTTTTCAATTTGCGGATATATAATAGAATAAGATGTAGGCACTATTATTATTTTATGCAACTGAAATCGACTCTTTAGCAATAATAAATCGGGACATGAGTGACATGAGACTTTGTGGTGTAACATCTACTTTATTTTGTTTAGATTAGCTGGTAACATATAAGTTAATAGCTGTGTATTCGTTCGAACCTTAATAACATAAAAAATATTAATGTCTGTCTACTCTACTCTGAAGTCTTCTTAAGCCTATGTTGATCGTAAGTGGTAGACCGAAGTGTTCATAAGTGGTGTGTGTGGGACCATATCGATGTTATATCCGATTATATCGATAATCAATCAACTAGATATAGAGCGGGTTAAGTACCGACATTTATTTGAGGCGTTATTAAGTGGAGATTTAATTTGGTTTTTATTGTCTTTGATGTGAGGTGCATGTGACTGGGTATTCATTGATAGGTAGTGAAATCCATGTGTTGCCATCCTTAAATACGCGGTCATAGAAAGACCCTCTTTTGTGTATATGTGTGTGTATGTGCGTATTTGTGTGCGCGTGAGTGTGATGTACTTGAATCGCAAGGACCAAGACCATTCTGGTTGTTAAGCTGCACTCTGTAATAGGAAGAGGTTTGAAAGCTGTATGATGATACTGTCTTTTTTTAACCCCTGGCGTCATGTCTTTTTATTATTATAAAGAGGGTAAACGAGTAAACCGGTCACCTGATGATAAGTGGCTACCGACACTCATTAATACTAGCAACTAAGAGTCGCAAGTGCTTCGATGGCCTTTAAGGTGGTAGTACGCTTATTTCTTAAAAGTTTTAGGGTCTTATAAACCTGGAAATATTGCAGGCGACAATTTGTTCATCAGGTTGATTGTAGGAGGCAAAAAGTTTCGTGAAAGGTATAGTGTTGGATTATCCGTGACGACCCTGAGTGAACCTGACTGCTAATCCGAAGTTCGTGGTTTCTATTCCCACCCAGGACAAATACTGTGTGATGAGCACGGTCATTTGTTCTGTGTCTGCGTGTAATTAATTTAAAATATGTATGTATTTAAAAATATATAAGTATGTTTATCAGCATTCTGGTTACCATAGCACAGGCTCTGCCTAGTTTACCTGGACCCCTCCTAAACTGGAAGCGCAAAGAGGGCACACCGTGTGGTTTTAGTCGGTTCGAGTCCGACACACCGCCCCGCCGAACTGAGAGCCCCGGCGGGGTGACGGTCCGAGGGGATTTCCACACGTTAAAAAAAAGGCTCTGCCTAGTTTAAGGTTCAGACGGCCGTGTGTGAGATGTGTGAGGTACATTATTATTATTACCCATGTGATTATGGATGGAAGTTACGGCATAATAACGCAACAAACAAACAATCCCACCTTCGTATTTTATAATATTAGGTAAAAAGATGAAATGGTTAGGATTAGGTTAGAATACATCTGGATATTAAAAAGAAAACACTTCTTCATATACCTAAGTAAAGACGATTTCCATGACGCGACGGTGCATTCGACTCCCACGGTGGGGATCGCGGGTTCGATTCTCATTTCCATGTCTATTTGAAATAAATTGCGTGTTTCTATAAATAATATATACTGGTGACCTTCCCGGCTTTGCACGTTGTGTAGAGCATACTTTGCTTAGGTAGGTACCTACATGTTTAGGCTCGAAGGTGGTTTGAGTTTTTCTTAGATATTTTCACCAAATTATCGTCACATTGTACGGCCGGATGGTGTAGTGGTTTGTGCAACGAACTGCTACGCCAAAAGTCACGGATTCAATACCTACCCGAATTCGAAATAAAAAAAATATGTTCATGAATATTTAATGTTTAATTTCGTCTGGTTGTTTCTATGTATAATATATATGTATTTTAAGTATGCAAAGTATGTACGAGTATGTAGGTTTTTATATCAATTGTCTAGTACCCATAGTACCTACAAGCTCTGCTTAGTTTGCTTAACGTAGATGGCGTTGTGTGAATGTTAAAAGAAAACATTTCAACCAATTTACATAAAACCTTGACAAATTACCCCTAAACCTTCCTAATTAGGTAATTACTTTATAAGGAAGGTTTAGGGGAAATTCTGGCTATTCGTGAAAACCGCATCAAAATCCTAGGTTACTACAATAATTTTACAGAAGCTATGGGCTTCTTATTATTTTTAAATAGCTGTCGGTATTGACCGATCAATACCGAGCATAAAAAAAAACCTCCTTTCTAAGGAGAGGCCTATGTCCAGCAGTGGACTAGTAAAGGCTGTTGATGATGATGATGATGATACCGAGCATATTGATGCTAGACGACTTTACAAACACTTTTTTTCATTTCACAAAAAATCATGCACATGTACACAATCCAGTAGAGTTGGATTGGGAAATGCTAGAAGACAGTCCGACAAAGAGATAACAAAATCTTTCCTACAACAAGATGAAAACGTGACCTACAAGGTGCACGCAATGAACCTAGAAATGCAGAATGAATGGTTAACTCTGGGAGATTTTTTTATCCCACCAGTTTTGAAATGGCGCACACTTTTATGCAATTGATCACCTTCCCTATTAAAATTTTACCAAAACGCTTTTAAATTAACTCTCCCCGATCAAAGCAACCTAGAAGGGTGGGGAAAAGCTACTGAAAAGGCTTGTATAATGTGCAGTGTGAAAATAGGTACAGCCATAGTTACTGACAGGTTGTAAGCCGCTATTAGACCAGGGTCATTATTCACGTCGCCATGATGGGGATTTACAAATCATACGCAAAGCTATGTGTATTTATGGGCGAGAGCGAAAAAAAAAATTGGTTGCCTGTAAAGTCGGTATACGGGCGAAAGTTTTACGTGACAACGACTTTGAGTGGTAAAATAATTTTGGCGGGCTAACTGTGCTCGAGTGGAAGGGACGCGTGCCTTTCACTTTTTATGTCTGTCTCTCTCGCTCTTAGGCGGGCTAACCATGCCCGAGTGGAAGGGACGCGTGCCTCTCACTCGCTCTCATTGTGAGCGCATAACGTGAGCGGAGCGTAACGCAGTTTCTTGAAGTGTCACCCGGCAAACCAATTTATAAGACGTTGTCACGTCAAAAACAACAAACATAAGAACATCGAGTTTGTAAAGGAAGGCTGAATAAAAAAGACCACAAAAGCCAGTCCAGTCACGTACGTACATACGACTGGACTGGCAAGAAGGTGACTGGCTGGACTGGAAGGTGACATTATTAGTGGACACAAATGAACATCATTTCAGAATACCGGAGGATATCTGTGCCTCGGCGTCCAGACCAGACGCTTAAGACGACCTGCTTAAAGACCTTGGATTGCGAAGAGCTTCAGTAAGCTCTTTTTCTTGAACGAATATCCAAAGCGTCATTGCTAGGCTTACCTATATAAAATATGGTTAGGTAGAGGGAGTAACACAGCAAACAGTGGAGGTGAGCGCTGACGCGTTGCAAGGAGTACCTCCTATTCCTCGGTCACAATTCCCAGGCTCATGTGGCATGTGGCAAGTATTGTTGCATGTGTTTTGCTTCCACTGATAAATAAACAGCAAGGTAATGGTTGAAAAGTATTTTAACGGATACAAAAACAATGACATGAAGTTACACAAAATGGCAGCCCAAGTTCTAAATTTAAATACATCTTAGCTAAAGTTGTAGAAAACCCATATCCTGTAAACCAATCGTCAGAAATCTCCATCAATAAATTACAAAGTCAATAATATTATTTTATTAGCTCACTACATATTTCCGTTGAAGAGCTGTAATAAATTAAAATTTTTAAAAATAAATAATTCATATGAACGAGGAAATGGCCACCAGCGTTCGATTCTAATTACAAATCATGCCACCATAAAAACATCGAAAGACATTTTCCGCATTCGAAAATTAAAACGAAAATTTATGTTGACACTTCCACTCACCCACTTCTTTTATTGGTCCGACACAAGAGCTAGCTGCACGTGATTGGTCGGTCTAAATGGGCCTCTACCGAGGGAAAGGGACGCTGGAAGTAGGGTAAGGTAGGCAAGTGTAAGCGTAACAGAGATAGATAGACACTTGTCAAGTACTTACAGATAAAGCGCGCGTTAACGGCGGGCGCCTGAGGAAGTTGGATTATATGGACGATGCAACGAAGTAGTAGGGCTGCTATGGATTGGCAGACATGCGAAAATCTTACAATTTTTTTTTAGGCATATATTCAAAGATAGGAATGAATAGTACTTATATCTTTTGTTCCAATTCTGGTACCTGCTTATTCCAGATACTATAAATTATGTGGATTCGTCCAAGGTTAATTAAGGTTTTTACCATGAGATACATCGTAAGTAAAAAAACAACATATTGATATTTGCACTAACTCTACTACACGATTATAAAGACCGGCATCACTGATACGCATTTACCCAATGTAAACCTATATCACAGTGATATAATTCGTTTTTTTTTTTATCAGATAGTCAGCATATCTGGTTAAATGACAAATTCCTCGTCTACTAATTAATCACCAAATTCGATACTACGGCCACTTCACTGCGTCAGTACTATATGCATATGACCTAAGCGATCAAATCGCGTTCACGTAAACATCTTCAAGAAAAACTCAACGATCCCCACTACTTAGCTACTTCAGGAGCTTTTTAAAAAAACGACCGCCTTAACTCATTTCTATCTTACTCTAACACATACAGCCACCGTCACTAGCTGTGTATCTCCGTCTCGCTCTAAGGCTTAAACACGTAAAAACAGGCGGGCAATCTATCACCCAAAGTTTATTCGTTTGAGAAACGCTTTTGCGGTGAGTCGAGTCCCGCACTGTGAAGTGTTATCTTATGTGTTTGAATTTTTTAAAATGGAATCGAAATTAAAGAATTTCAAAGAGTCTTTAAGTATACAAGATTGTGAGAAGACTAATTTAAATACTCCGTTTTCGATAAATGATATACTAACCAAAGAGAATGAGGCGAAGTGCGACTTTGAAAATGGAATGTTTTGTTCGGAAAATTTTGGCGGGAAGATGAACTTTTTGGAGAAACCAACAAGCTGTTACAGCAAGGAGGATGGATATGGTTTACAAAAGGAGGTTTTAGACAAGGGATTGAAGTATTATGACGACTGCAGCGGGTACAGAGCCTACGGTGGTGATGGCGCACTGGACATGTCGCGGAAAAACAATTATCCCGTCACAGAATTATCAGGTACCTAATTGAATTTGTACTGTTTTGGTTTCATCTGCACAGATAAAAAACTTGTCTTTTTTATTTGTTATTAAATTGTTAGGTATATGTGTGAGATAGGTTCTAATCGGCATGAATAGACGATTGAGTTTGCAAGTACCTACTAAGCTCTTTATTTTTGTTTAAAAAAATCTAAAAGTGCATTTTATTTTTTGTCGCATTTTTTGTATTTTTTATCGTATCAAACGCTTTATATCACTATTTAAACCGACTTTTTTTATAAAATGAAATAAATTAAATGAATAATTTGTTGTAATTAATTTTAATTATTTTTGCCACCTATTTTTTGTACTTAGTTAGGTAGGAATAGGAATCTCTACTATCTAACGAAGTAGGTACCTACTCTTTGAAGCTTTTCCCATTGACGGTTTTGCTTTGCGTTTTTATTATTACCTGCGTCCTAATATCATGATCATCACGGATTGCTATATGCTATGTATGACATAGAATATGGCATTATATATCATACATAACATTATATAGAATATACATAGAATATAGCATTCCATGATGATAATCATTATCATTATGGAATGCTATACATAGTATAGTATAGTAGGACGTAAGTAATATTAAAAAAAGTGCCGTAATAGTCCACTGCTGGTCATAGGCCTCTCCTTAGAAAGGATGTTTTAGCCTACAGTATCACGCTGACCGGACGGGTTGGTATAGGGTTTGTTTCAAGGATTCCTTCTCATTGCAGTGCTGTTGTCCTGCCTAGTTTGCTCAATCTGTTGCTTACGCTTCTCGACTCATCCGAATGAGCATGACCACTTGCCTGTCATTGTCTTCCATTCTCTTCTGACTTGAATACATAGTGAACACAAAGATCTACAATTACCCTGTAGTAAGTGGGGCTGTCCCAATATACTTGTAATTTCCAAAATTTTAATTTCAAAAGTGCCCGGTTGAAGGCCAGCGGTGGGGTTTTTTTCACGTCTATAGGATATTTATGTGTATATGTGCATCATTCCTCTGCTTGTCCCTTCTAGGATACAAGCGTGAGGATATTTGAAAAATATCGGTCGTTATGTTCTTGGTCGTGGCAGTGGAATATCGGCCGTTTTAAATATCTTGTTTATTTCAATTACCAGTTTAACTTGAACCGTCATTGTATAAACCCATTGGGGATTGCCAGAAAAAACTATTTCTTATCATTGTCATCTTAATTCGGTTTATAGCAAATGTGAGGTCACCGGTGTCAACGGCAACATAATACATTGGACTTGAACCTACTAAAACCACAAGGTTTGCCTCATTTTTTGTTTTAGTAATCTCTACCATAGATTAAAATCGACTAACGTTCACAACAAAAAAGGCATTCTAATATCGATTGTTCCAAAATTCCAAATTCAAATGATTCCAAGTCGGTAATTACCGGCAGGCGACAAGTGACAATGAAAGTAAGGGCACGTTCACAACGCACTAGTCGCGCGTCGTGCCGCCCTGCGATGTCGCCACTTAGCCATCACTTGGTTCTTCCACCGATTACGCTACCCCCTCATTACTATAAGTGATGACGCTTAAAAGCTATTCACCCTTTCAATTTTGTAATTACAAGGTTTGTAGTTCGCACAAATTGTCTGGTTTTAATGTATATTTTTATTATTACAAAAGGTATATCTATAATGGCTTTGTGAGAACGATAGAAATGTATTAATCAATCAAACAAGCTAGATACTATTTAAAAAAGCCGAATATATTTCTCTAAAGTAGAGTTAGAGTGGGAAAGTGTAATAAACTTATAAAGGAACAAATGTACCTACTCTTAGTGGTATTTTCAATATTAGTTACGATTTCATAATGGTATTTATAAAGTACACGAACTAATAGTAGATAACAGGCATAAAATAGTTCATTGATGTCTAAGATTTTATAATAATATTTAACATTATGTCTTACTGCAATGCGATTTAAATAAACTTGTTGGTTAATCTTTCACCGCCTATATTCTATTATTTATTTCTCATTTCTAATTTTTCATAATAACTTAACGTGAATCTACACGAAAAGCTTGATTTAAATTACGTTTTGATCTAAGGCTCTAAAGATCTTTTAACGGCATATGTCTGTAATCGTACAAGTCACTTCTTAGATTTAATTTTTTTTTTTCCTACAATTTTATACAATGTTAAACTAAATTAGTATTACTTAATGCCTATAATCATAATCAGATCAAAGTAGTAAATTAAATCATTATCCAACAAATTACTTACCCCTCACTTCAATTAGAGCCCAGGGTGACAATATAAATGAGCCGAAAACTTACAACAATAGAGCATCGCACGCAAAAATACTGTTACAAATGGCCCCAGTGGCGTTACCGCCTTTTACCGTATATTACCGCGAGTTACCGCGTCTAATGACCGGCGACAATTTGCGTAATGGATCCATTGTGTGCTCGCCTTTATACGCGGATGGCGTGTGCCGATAAAACCGATTTAATTGATTCCCTCGTCGTATGAATCTAGTTCTAATGAGTTTGGAGTTTTCTGGTACCAGCTAGATTTATTATAAGGTATCTACTAAAGTTATTGGGTAGTAAAAGTTGCTTTAGATAGGGATAAATAATACATTTGCCTCTCTCAAAAGGAAAATGCATTCATGTTTCATTGATGCTCGCCTCCTATTGGTAGTACTGTAATATTATATAGCCTTCCTCGATAAATGGTCTATCCAACACTAAAAGAATTGTTCAATTCGAACCAGTAGTTCCTGAGACTTTTAGAAAACACTTAGCGTTTACTCGCAGCATTGGATTTATACATGCACGCTGTTGTTATATTGATGACCGTTTCTGTAAGGACTGCTACGACGATACTTGTAATAAAAAAACTACGGAATGTTTTTTTTCATTTTTACATAACCAGCTGAAAAAAAGATTAAAAGTATTACAACTGTAGACTATAAATGGAAGACATCATAACTACATTGATGCTAATTGAGTGAAACGTTCTTCTTGCTTCTAAATTTTATTTAAGACAGTTATACTTTAATCATTTAAAATACAATAAATACAAACAAATAAATAATATAAAACGCGTATTAAAGCTGTTGAATAAAGGGATTGCCAAGCAGTACTATAACGCTATGTCTTAATCAAGATTATTTTATATCCGTAGACATTATACAGTAAGTAATAATAAACTGCAATTCTCTGTTGTTCCAGATGACTATGACTCTCGTTCATCCAACACAGGCTCACCAGTACGCCGAACGAACTCATCACCATCATCAGATATCGCATATAAGCCTTTTTTACACTTCGAAACGCGCAAATGCTCGTCCCCACCTACCGATACCAGGATAATTCATTCCCCGAGTTACAACATTAACGAATACTCCCAAAATGGGGGGAGAAAAAAACGATCAAGAGCTGCTTTCTCTCATGCTCAAGTATATGAACTCGAGAGAAGATTTAGCCAACAACGGTATCTTTCAGGCCCTGAGAGAGCAGACCTGGCAATCAGTCTAAAACTGACAGAGACACAGGTGAAAATATGGTTCCAAAACAGACGGTATAAAACTAAAAGAAAGCAGTTACAGATGCAAGAAAATGGAATGCTGGCAGCAGCTGCGGCTGCAGCAAATCATGCAAGAAAAGTGGCTGTCAAAGTCCTTGTCAATAATAACGGACAGCCAAGCTTGCCTGATTTAAAACCATACCCAAATCCAATTCTGGGAAAAGCCTTAAACCCCCTTTTCACACCACCGAACTTATTAGAAAGTTCGCCAATATTGAAGCACTTTGCTGGCGTCTACGGTGTAGATTTTGCTAAAAATCCAGAGTATAAAACTTTATTACAAGAATCCTACAATCAAGCTGTGTTACAGTCGCTCTATGGTCCACATTTAAATGTTAATTATTCAAATTTGCCACTACCTTATATGTATTACCCTGGACATTCCACATTCGGAATGCCTGTACCATGTGATATAGACAGAAGTCAAGAAAGGACTGATAGTAAAGAATTTGGAGCCAAAGATAAAGAAAAGTCGGAATCTAAAGTCAAAACTCACGTTGATTTAAATGAGAACAGTAATGAAAGCATGGCCAGTAACATTGAAATTGAAAATTAAAAATAGATTTAAACATAGAATAGATAACATGATTTTTGTGTAACGTACACAAATGTCATAAAAAAGTTCGTGTTCTAAAAATTGTTGATTAAAAACACTTGAATGTGAAAGTGTTTTACTGTTAAAGTATGTAGTTTAATAAATCACGTTTTAGACGAAATTCAAAACTTTGTGATTTAAATTACGAATTCAATAAGTAATATTTATTAAAAATTGATATTAGAAACTCGCGCAAAAGTTTTAATTTGTTCTCACGAATTATGAATTTCGAATGAAGTTACAATACCAAAAAGTCTTACCAAAGAATATTTTTTATGTGGCAATAAACCAAATCATAGATCAAGTAAATTTATCCAAAGCACGTAGTTAGTAGAAATTGTTACTGTTAGTTATATTACGCTGTAAATAATTTTTAAGGTTGTTCGAGTAAATGTTTTAATAGTCAAATACATTGGCACGTTTGTATATAGTACAAAATTAGGACTTAAGGAAGCTTAATAAAGGTGCAATAAAGTTAGTGGTTCTTTTTTCTTCCATCTCTTCGTCCTTGCCATGCTCCTACTTTAGTGATATGTATAACGTCATACGCATTTTTTACTCTTTGGACAATGAAACTAACATCTTTTATTAGTTTGAAAAGAGCCTTCAAACCTTCTAGAAAAGGGCGAACTCCCATTTCAAGTCCGACATCGAACTTATTAATTGCAAGTGTCTAGAGGCGGTGGTCATCAGGTGGCTCGTTGACTGTCAATTGAATCCAATTTAAATTAGAAAAGTTGTAAATGTAATAAAGACAATTCAGTATCATTCAAAAGAAAAGAAAAACATCTATTAGACAGATATTTATTATAACACACGCATTTTCCAGATATATGTACTTACATATTTGTATATTTAATTTAGTGAATTGTACATAATTTATTAATAAAATCTAATTGTGAAATTACTTAAATAATGCGCAAAAGTAATTTCATTATCTCTAACGAATTTGCTTACAAAATAGTAAATATGAAGAAGAGGATAACATGATTATTTTGCTGTTTATTGTTATGAATCAGATTGTATTGGATTTTCTGAAAAGCCTTGTCGCTATCTCAAATATACGTTTCATACTTATTGTCGTTCATTCACTAAATCCATGGACTTATAAAGAATTAAGTAAGGCCTATAAATCACACAAACATCCATAGAAATCCAAATTTTTGATGTCAACATGAGCGTGAGTAACATCAAACTAAACTTAGATAAGGTATAAAACAAATGGAAAGCCTATCTTTCTCTTAGAAAATAACAAATACATCAATCACGTTTATTATAGCAGTTGATTCTTTTATATTCTTACATATCTTTTGAAATTACGCTATTTCATTGTCAGACTACTGCTTGTGGGTTCGTTTTCCACCCTTTTTTCCGTGCGGAAATCCCCTCGGATACCACCTCTCGGTGGCATGTCGGACTCGAACAGACTAAAACCGCACGCCGTCTCGGGTACTAATAGCCGGGAACCAGGTATACCCTAGAAAGGAAGTCCCTGGTGCGGTTCGTTTTCCACCCAGGACAAATCACCGATCACGATCATTTGTTCTCAGCCTGGGTGTAAATTATCTATAATATGTATGAGAAATATTTAAATATGTTTATCAGTAGCCTGGTTATCATAGCATAGGCCCTGCTTAGTTTGGGATCAGACTGCCGCGTGTGAGATGTGTGAAACTATTAAGTTAAACCTTGTTTAAATGCAATCGAAATATTTTCTAAGAAGATATCTAATTTATTAGGGTGGGAAGATATTAACATATAGGTAAATTACTCTAGTGTGACTTGAAATGTGATAAAACAGTATAAGCCCAATACTAAACTCAACCATAGGTTTTTTATGGTATATAGGGGGCAAGCGAGGAGAAAGGTCACTTGTTGAAAACTATCGCTTTTTACAATAATATTTGTAATATTATTTAACGCAAATACTTATTAACAAACAAATAATTATATAAAAGACTCACTTGCTCCACCTCCGGGCGACGTAGCCAGACCATCGTCACACTAAACACAAACCCGATCTGTATACCCAATAAATAAATAAATAAATATATGTGCCTAAACTGGAAGCAGTTACTAGTAGTCTCTAGTAGCTCGTGATTACTGAGTTTCTGTTCATGCGCGTCGGTAGTCACTTTCCATCAGATGACCCGTCTGCTCGTTTACCCCTTAATCTAAAAAAAATCAGTTCCACTTCAAAATTCTTTGCTCCATCATTAGATTAGCAGTATTATCATCATCCGAACTACATATCTATAGAAGGTTTTATTTCGATTAGATAATATCCGTATTCTTAATCCGTTATTAAGAATACGGCATGTCACCACCCCTATTTATCCCATGGGTGGCGTAAGAGCCGACTAAGGGAGCAAATTACGCAGGACAACAGCACTGCAAAGAGAAGGCAAACTTGAAACAACCACTATACCAACCCGAATGTTTTAGATTGAATGCATTAATGTAGACGGTTAATAGTTGATAATATATACCTATAACCATGATATTCGAGTCCTTTCGTTGTAATTGTTTTTTGAATGTTATTCTTTATCTATCTTGCTTTATCTTTTAAAAAAGACAATCTTTAATGTTCACATGTTTATGCAAATAAAATATCTTGTATCTTGTATCCGTCTGGCCAGCGTGGCATAGTAAACCAAAACCTCCTTTCTAAGGAGAGGCCTATGTCTAGCAGTGGACTATCAAAGGCTGTTGATGAAAATGATCATGAGGACGATTAGAAAAATTTACTCCTTAGATCTACATAGGTACGTGCGTGTTAACATTTCCAGCAAAGCTAATTAAACGCGTTTTAAACTGAATTTAATAAATGTAAAATTTAATCTTTACAAAGAAGCAATAAAAAACTGAATCGAGGTAATAACAGCAATTTTCTACTTTCAACTTCAGAAGTCAGCTCTCAAACTCGTCACGAGTGTCTCCGGTAATTGCTGAACTGTGCCGAAGCTCCACGTAAAGATGGTGCTCGACGAAAGTGAAGAATGCCCGCGAAATCACCGCGCGCCAAATTGCTTTAATGCCTACAACTGACGTGCTGGTTTACAGAGGAGAAGGCTTTTAAAGGTCGAATAAAGTTTTAAAAGAAAAATAATAATTGGGTATCCATTAATTACGTGAGAGGTTAAGGAGAGAAATAGAGTTGAAAGGGACCTAACCCAATCTCGTGTAGGGGAGAAGGGGGTTCCGGCAACAAAACACGTAATTTTGATTCCTTAAATAACAATGACCACTCCTAAGAAAATGCAAACGACACAAAGCAAAAGGGTCAGGTCGAGCCAAATCTCATGAAATCGCACTCGCGTAATTAACCCCCCTTAATGTAGTAAAATATTAACTTGTTATTGAACTTCTGCCAGTGAATAAACCCTCTAGAATTAGAGTGACGTATTTCGAGGGTGAAGTGTAGCAGTATCTAGTTTAGTGCAGAAGTTTAACATCAGGAGTACCACGGACTTTGTATGTTACTTTTTACGTAATTTAAAACAAAAATACTAGAAGACTGATTGTTGTCTGTCACTTATTGTTTCAATGCAGAATACATCCTTCAAAGCCTAATAGAATGTAAAGCAACACATTAGTTAAACAATCGATACGAGGTTGATTGTTCTCTGTGAATTCTTCTAGTAAGTATAATAATATTACTCGTATATAATATAATAGTACATATAGTGTTCATCATTTTAACATTCAATTGTTTGTTGTTTAATTACTGTTTTAGTTGTTCTGATGTTTTTCGAACATAAATATTTTTCGTTGTGTGTTATTGTTTACTTAACTGTGAAATTTATGAAGATGTTATAAATGCGAAGTTTATTTTATAAAAAAGTCTCCTAAAATAGCCGTTTCCATACAACTAATCGATGTTCTTCAATAAAATTATCATATGAATACTAGTTGGGAGAGGCACAGCGATGGGGCGGAGTTGGCAGACATTATGAAAATGCCAAGCTTCGTCTTCCGGACGAAGAATTTCCCAAGACTCGCATAGAGATGAGTGACGCTCGCGTACTGTTGGCCCTGCAACTTGTGAATAGAAAATAAAATGATGCAAATTTTAAAGTGGGAATAGTAAATCAGGCTGTTAGGAAGGATTGTCCATTATTAGTGTAAATTTCACTACGAATTGGTAATGGGTTAATTAGTTTTTTGATTATTTTTTAACCCCCAGGCCTGTGTGTGTGTGTGTCTGTCTCTGGCATCGTAGCTCCCAAACGGATGAATCGATTTCGATTTTGTTTTTTTTTTGTTTGAAAGGTAAATTAGTCGAGAGTGTTCTTAGCTATGTTAATGAAAAAGGTCCAAGATGGCCGCTGCCACGAAATGGCGGATTAAATTTCGAATTTTTAAATAGGGGTGCCAAATGAAAGAACTTGTCTAGTAGAATACTATACACTATGATTGGGTGGATATGGTTTTTTATACTTTTAATCTAAATGTTTTTTTTTAAACTGATAATGATGCTTAGATCTTAGCTAACACACAGCATTTTTACATTCATTTTTACATACATACGTATACTAACGGGCCGTTAAAGAACAGAATGTTTTTCACTTATGATAATGTACTGAATAATGTACACATGACAAGTACCCGGAACTGTATCTGTAATAACAGAAGAAAAATCTCATGAGGTATAAAATATTTCTATCTTTATAAAAAAACGTTCCATCCACGAATAAATCTTATTCCTATCTATAATATCCTTGTTCTGTACAAAAGCTACTTATTTCGTTTTGTTGTCGAGTGATTCCAGCGAAACGTGGGGAACGCAATTAACTGATTGTCGATGTACTACCTTGTAAACAGTGCATTACCGCTCATCCTCTCAATAGGACTCCGTAGTGATGGGAATTTTGTTATCGATATCGAGAAATATGCAACTCGTTAACAATTTAATTTAGTACTTACCTACGTTGTTGGAAAGTGGTTGTTGTTAGTCAAAA